CCAATTCTCCAGTGGTGCAACCCAAACCAAATCCAACTTAAAAATGCATAGGGTCTAACCCGATACCTATCCGATCCGACCCATAGTATTTCAACTGTATTTTTTTAACACATTTTGAAGACCTAAAATTCATTAATTTAAGTTAGGAAACTGTTTTATAGATTCTAAGGTGTCATGTAAATAAATCTTGAACTTTAAGATTATAGAATTTAGAAATCAAAAATTAGAAGAATATATATACAAGGTATCATGACCCAGCGGAGCAGATCAGCCAAAACCCGAATCCAATTCGGGTCAAATAATCAAATCCCTAAACCGACCTTATAGGATCGGGTCAAATCAAATTTACCATTTAACCCGGCCCGTTAACATCCCTAACTGAGCGGATTTAATACTTACAAATTTGTGCTTACACTGTTTTACAGCCGTATTCAGTTGTATATTGAAAACATTTCCATACTTGTATGTTTTTATTTATAGGGAGATGTTCTCACTTCTCAACCCAACCCATGGCTGAAAACGGGTATGAGAACGGTATAATCACAAATTTGTAAGCACCAAATCCAATTTCGGGACGAACATTTTGTAATGGCCTTTTAGGGCGGTAGGGCCCCCCAATCCAATATTAATGTCATTGAGAGAGAGAGGAAGTGAGAAATATCAAAAGGACTTCTTCAAAAATCATAAAAATTGGGGAAAACGGGAAAAAAGAATCTCACCGGTTGGTTTGGTTTAATATATAGATAACAGATGTGAATGAAGGTGTAGTGTCATGTATGTAATATATTATTAATGAGAATAGTGGTTGCAGCTAATAAGTCAAGATGAAAGACTTTTCCTCTGCATAAGAAGCTGCAGGCTATAACATGTTTTTCTTTTTATCAATTCATGCCAGTAAATAAAACAGTAAAATATGAGAATGATTTCGGATTATCAGATTTGAAAACACAAAATCGTGCAATAAAATGATTTCAATTTGATTTTCAATGAACATTTGACCCCACACTCTTGTCGTTTCTATACTTAGATATTCTGCCAACCCAAACCGGGTGCTTTCTTGTGGCAAAACCACGACACTTTTGCTATTAAAACTAATAATTTTTGTCCCAATTCCCTCATATTCTTTTTCTTTCTTCTCAATTATGGTGGATTCTCATCTGTTCACCTAAAGACCATACAATGCACATGCTGCCTGCCAGTAAATTCACCAAACAGACCCCCCCTCCTCATATATGAAGCAGATAACTCAACATTCTATGCTCAAATGACAAAAATTCTTATTGGTTACTGGGAGTGGTTCCCTTTTAGGTGGAGATTTTGAGCTAAAACTGCAGACAAAAACCAGCAAAGAGAAAAGAAAAAAAAAAAAAAAGAATAAATTAAGAAAACCATCGCCAATAAAACCGAGGGGTTGACAAACAACTTTATATGCTATCAGCCTACAGAAACAGCTTTTGGAAGGTTTAAAACTACCAGGATAGCACCCAGTTCTAATTCAACTGCGTCATTGGGGATTGGGAGAGGATGAGATCATGGGGGGACAAAATGTGACAAAGTCAAGGATGAAATCATGGGCAGTATTAAGTTGAACCATTCATCACCCATCGAATGAATTATGAATCCAACTGATTCATTATTGTCTGGCTGCTGCCCCATAAATTATCATAATTGTAATGCTTTTAATGTCACTGATGTAAATTGTAATGAATTATTATATTACATAGTTTGCTTTCTGATCAACCAAAAACAAAAGAGGAATACGTAGTTTTGTGGGCCTAGTCAACCAAATTAGATGAAAACCATATAAAACGTTGGTATTAACACAAGTCCGCTTGATTAGCAATTTTTGCACCCAGACCCAGTTGAGCTTTATATACATTTGTTTTGTAATTATGATTTATAATATCATGTGATACAAAATTTGCACTTTTTGTATCATTTACGCCTATTGACAATGCAAATTTTGCATTTGAAAAGCATATGCAGAATTTGCATCATCTTCCTCCAAACTTAAATCCCTCTCCTTCATGTGTGGCTGCAGTGTCCTTTTTATTGAGTGCAGTGCACACAGTATAAGAGTTTCCTAGTTCCCCATTCACTCTTCCCCAACAACTAACCTTCCAACTACCTCCATTTTACTTCGCACAAGCAAACAAGATAGACTGTCCATCTCTGAGATTGAGAGCAGCTAATTTGTGCTAAAAATGTCAAAGGTTAAGATTGCCTCCAGCGCACCCCTCCTACTGGGAGTCTGGCAGTTTGTCACTCCACTCCCGTGTATTTTATACCAGTGTAAGTGAAATTCACACAATTGAGCCTCTTTAGGAACGCATCAAAAGACTCTAAAATGTGATTTGTGATGTGACTACATCTACTGAGATGGCTGAAACTCTGAAGCTCACCTCAAAGGTTTTTAACTCTTTATTAGTGAACTCACCTCAATGTTCAACATCCAAATAATCCCCTCGCTCGCCGACATCTCTCTCTCTCTCTCTCTCGTTGGATAGAAACCTTGAGTCTAACTCTTCTTGTAATAACGTTAAGTTTCCACTATCTGTATTGGCGCAAAGCTCCCAGCCTAATGAAGACTGCTTATATAAAATCTTGCCGTTTCTCAGCTGTACGCATCAAGAAAGAAAAATCAACCACAGGCTGCACTGCACACAAGACAGGAGAAGGCTACACTGTCGGGAACCTGTAAAAGGCAGGAATAGGCAAGTAAGCGCAGGGAACCAGGGGGCCTTTTTGCAACTTTGTTTTACTCTACTCAACAAGGTATCTTTACAAAGAAACCTTGGAAAATATCAATAGGTTTGTAGCCTCACAAATCACAATACAGACACTACCATCTCTCCTTTGTCTTTCCCACCTTCCTTACACGTTACACCCCACCTGTTGGGGTGGATGTGGGGAGAAAGTGTGCAGGAGCGGTCGAACAATAACATCAGATGTTCACAGATCGGTAAATGCATCAACTGATCCATGCTGGCACTCTTCCTTTCAAACCATAGCATCTCGTCTCCAAAACAAGAAACCGAACCTCGTAAATTTAGAATTCTATTTTCTATGCCTCCATGTAAGAAAATTAGATTTCCATTTGCAACTAAAAATGAACACCATTGACTGGTTTAACATGAGGATAAATGCTTGCCAGTTGCCACAATCACACATCTTGGATCATAATTATTGATGAGCAAACTAGTTAACCAGGCATCCATAAAGAGCATATTTTCTGGTGTCGGACAGTAAATATCTTACAGAGCTTTTGCTGGAATTGATGAGATCATACATGATCTTCAACCTTCTGTTTTTTGGCTGTCAATGATGCACCAAATCAGTTTCAAAAATGGGAAACAGAGCAACAATCATTAGGTGCAATAATATGGAGACCCACTAGCCATATCTTCTTGCTTCCTAGCAGCATCCACCTTTCCATCAGTTAAGCAGGAAATCGTTCTGCAAAGACAATATAATATAAGAATGATGTCATATTGAAATAGTAACCAATAGAGAGAAAGTGGGGACAATTAAGAGAATTGACTCAAGAATGAATAGCCAATAGGCAGAAACTAAAAATAGCAAATTCGACTACGATGCCAGAAGACATGATACCAGAAAAACTAATAACTAATCAACCGGCATCATAAAAGAGGTAATCATCAGGTGGTTTTCATCAAATCCACAGGGGGGTTTGATTGGTCAAAGCCTTCCTGGAAAACAACTAAGGCAATGCATGTAAGGGGAAATGGAATCAAGTATTAAGACATTTAATGTTGAAACTGCTGAGGAAGCAGGAAAAAAAAAAAGGAATTGTTATGAAAACAACGAGCAAATCACCTAATCTCAACCTCAATTTTAATCTAGTGAGAACAACTTCAAGCCTCCCAAAACGCAGGCATCTGCATCAAAGAGCACCCATCATGTAAAGCCCAAGTCCTTACTGCTACCTTCTACTCTGCTTAGTCCAGGGTTTTGCCTAAAGCGCATTCTCCAAGCATACATTCAAATCATGGGTGGCCTTTGGTCTCACAAGTAATTGAGATCCTTATTTCATTGTCACCCAATAACGTCTTCAAAGACACTCTGAGTTGATCCTTTCTTTCTTTGAGGGTTTGTATTTCTATTAAACCAACTCTTCTTTTTCTTTCTTTCCGAAATCTCAATGAAAGGAAACATTTCCCAATGTTGGTCCCAGCTATCTGGAGTCTTGGGAGGGATAGACACATTCTCACCCTTTTCATCCTTAGATTCACCATTAAACCAAGCAACGGTGCCTGTAAAAGGGACACATGATTTACTGAAAATAACAAACATCTAAGATTGAGTAATAATCATATAGGTCTTTGTCTTCCTCTATAAAAGAATCATGTGAATTGTCTATTCAAACCACACCGGATTTTTTATCACCCACTGCAAGGACCAGATGGTTTTATTGTTCTGAAACTTCTAAACTAAATCTAGGCATACCCCTCCTGGTGCATTCATATGAAAACGTTCTTGTCATGCCAGCGTATAAGCATAGAGTACATTCATTTAACAAATTTTTACAAGTGAAACAGCATATAGAAAAGATAAATTGAAATTTACAAACCTAAACAAGAACCAGTAAGAAGCTACTTCAATACAGCAGATAATTTCCAGATGTCCTACACTCTGTGCCTTTAGACGCAGAATCAGTTCAATCTCGGTATGTTAAGCATTAGAATGCCCACACTGCAGTGTTGTTAAAATCTTACAATTCATGATTTGAATCATGAATTCCAAGGGTTTCAATTCGAAATCTTATGTCCAAATCCTTTTCTACAAAAATCGTAAAATTTTTGTTTGAATCCTACAATTTGATTCATAAATCTTATGATTTATGCAATCTTGTGATTCAAATCAACTCAATTAAGAATTAGTTCTGTTTTTTATAGCTAATTAAGAATTAGTTCTCTACTTTGTCATTTTGTACCTTACTAGAAATTGATTTATTTATGTTATTTAAGACCCTATATTGAGTTTATTTCCTATCATATGTTGGATAAAGAGCCATTGTATGACTTACTATACAATTCAAAATTCGATTCGATTCAACTTTCTCTATGACTTACAATACGATTACGATTTTTAGAACATTGCTACACTGCCATGTGAATGAGAGAAATCAACAAAGGATTCCCCAACCTGTGAACATACAAAAAATCCACCACCATCTCTTAAATGGTCACTGATGAAAAAATTATCTTATGTAATCCATGACAACAAGAGCTGCCTTAGGCCCAGGACATCAACGGGCAAAAATGTCTTTTCAACCTTCAGAGAAATTAAGATCTAGGAATTATGTTTGGCTATTATAACCAAGGAAATCCCCAACGTGGACAAGGCTTACACTCTATCAAACCAAATGTCTCAAAAGGTACTAGGCCAAAGAATCCTCTATATTGTTTACTACTAGAAATATAGAGAACTCTTTAAAAGTGCTGGAACATGACAATTGACAAGGTACCCTTAACTACAATAACTTAAAGCATGGGAAGAAGATCCCAGAAATCAGCCAACAACAACAGCTAGTACAGAATGATGCAACAATTCCAACTTGAGACCTAACAACAACATCAAAAACAATGATGCAATACATGATGCTCAGCCTAATTTTATGACTTAGAAGTACATTTTTTGGGAGAGGACGAACAACTATAAACAGGAATAAATCTTCATTCGTGTATCTACAAAGTTTGGATTTTCTGAATTAAGAAAAAAAAGGGTGGGGGGATTTAATGCTTACTTTTGCTATTAACAAGAACCTATTTGGCCATGATGTATCAACACAAAAATTAGAAATCCTTTTCCTTGGCCTTTCCTCTTCAGGTGCAATAATTTTGTTTTATCTGATCGATTACAAGGCAAGGTTTCTAGAAAGTAGCTTATATAGTAAATAGTACCAGCACAGATACCCTACATTGCATAGCAAAACCCCCATGGTTTGACGGCCTCTTCAACATACGTAAGAACAGAACAGGTCTGTTAAATTATTTCCGGATTTCCCATTTCAGTGTCACAAGAGTCAAGAGAGAGTATTATCCCCTAATCTCACAGTAGACAGGCTAATGTTTACGAACCCTAACACCGACTTCATCATTGAATCGCCCCATGACCAGAAATGACAGAAAACTCTGCAATCAAGCCTCCAAAAACAAGAACAACAAATCAAAACGCCGAAAGGCTGTTCCTTTTGAAGTCTTAACCGAACAAAAAGAAGACAAAGATAAATCATTTATAAGAAGCAAGAAACAATTGGAACAGAAGGGGGGAAGGGAGAGAGCTCACGATCAAATGGAATCACCGCTCGTCCGAAGTATGATCATGGTGGTCCTGCCTGGAAGGGAGAGGATTAGACCCCTTAATGATCCATCCGAGGGCGAAGAAAGAAATTCCGGCGAGGATAGCGGTGCCCCATGCGTGGGAATACCATCTGCTATACTGTCGGATCGCAAACCTCCATTGCTCTCTCAAAGTCGCAGCGTCCGGGTTCGTTGCGTCCGGTGGGTTCGGATAATGAATCTTTGGCGCCGCACCACCAGCGCCACCGCCACTACTGCTGGCGCTGTTTATGTTGATTTCTCCAGAAACCCTAGAAGCTGTTGACGAAGAAGAAGAAGGAGAAGAAGTGAGATTTTTGGCGGAGTTTGGGTCCTGCTGCTCCTGTGTCATCTTCCCAAGCTCTGCTGTGCTCAGCTCAGCTCAGCTGTGGGTACTACGAACATGGGTTGATTGTTGAGGAGGCATTTCGCCATCTTTGATCTATCTCTCATATTCTCATCCTCATCCCAACCAACCAAACCGGACATCTAACCGGGAAAAAAGCCTGCCAATCGGTTCAATTACTGGGTCAACCGTGTTAAGGTACTGAATAATCCATTGTATTAATGTGAGTTTTTCAATTTTTTTCTTTTTTTTTTTCAGCTTGATTACGTGTCCATGAGCGGAGTGCTGAGAGGATAGTTGTGTCTTTCACGGAGTGATCTAAATTAAACTCGCAACTAGGCTATGTTTGGTTTGATAGAAAAAATAAAAAGTAAAGAGAAGGTTGATGTCTAGGGCATATTCTAGAAGTTTAATTGAAGGATGGAGATTAGGCAAGTAGAACATATCACTCACACATTTGTAGTTTGCGGTTCTCTTTTATGAGAGAGGGGACATGAATTGGACTAGAAATTTGAAACTTACAATACAATTTTTTTAGCGAATGTCGAATTTGAAAGTAAACTTTAATAAAAGTTGTGTTGTAGGTGTGAATATGGGGGAAAGTGAGATCCTTTCATGTGCAAACATTTTAGAATGTGAAGTGTCCAATTGGCCTCTAATTTACCTTAGTCTTCCCCTAGGAGATAATCCCCAAAAAGGAAGTTTTTGGACTCCAATTGTGGAAATGTTTGAAAAAGACTTACATCTTGGAAAAAAAACTATCTATCTCTCGGAGAAAGAAACACCTTAATTAGGTCTACTCTAGTTAATTTGCCCATTTATTATCATTCGGTCTTTAAGGTGCCTATAGGGGTGGCTAGCAAGTTGGAAGAGCTAATGAGAGATTTCCTGTGGGAATCAGGGGAGAAGAAAAAGGAACATAGGGTTAGGTGGGAGATGGTGTGTAGGAGTAAGCAAGATGGAGGTCTAGGCATTGGAAACATAAGGAAGGGGAACTTGGCTTTACTAGGGAAATATGGTTGTGGAAATTTTCATTGGAAAAGGAAAAGCAGTGGGCTAAAATAATTTATAGTATTCACGGGTTTGTAGAGAATGGCTGGGACTTTGGGATTTTGGCTACGACTACAAGAGCATCACCTTGGAAATCAATCCAAGTTATTTTGCCCATATTTTCTCCTTGGATTAGGTATGATTTGTACTCGGGTAACTTTATTAAGTTTTGGGAACATGTTTGGGTTGGAGAATCTCCTTTGAAAGACCAATTTTCAGCCCTTTTTTGTAATCCCCACCTTCAAAAATGAACCAATTGCCACATTCCTTATTCCCTCAAATTCAAATTTTAGGTTTGGTTGGAACTTGGGTTTGAGAAGAGTTCTTAGGGATACAGAATTGGATTCTACCTCAACTCTCTTATCCATTCTTGATGGGATTTTCTTGGAACCTACAAAAACAAATAGTAGGATTTGGACTTTGTCTCCTTCCAAATCCTTTACTTGTGTATCCTTCTTTTAAAGTGCTAATACAACCAAAAATTTCTATTGCTTGTCATTCCCTGTCAAGGAAGTATAGTGTCAACCTATACCTCCGAGGGTTGGGAGTTTCTACTGGGAAGCTTTCCTGGAAAGAGTTAACACAAGTGATTTACTTCAAAGAAAAATACCCAATAGTTGTTTATCTCCACACTGGTGTGTTTTTTGCAAGGTTGCTGGTGAGTCTACTTATCACTTACTAATATCCTGTGCTTTGGCAAAAAAATATTTGGGAATGGTTTGTTTCTCTGTTTGGGTCAGGTGGATGTCCCCAATGAATGTGCAAAGCTTGTTTACCTCTTCTTCTCTTAACTACCCAACAAAAATGTCAAGAATCATGTGGAGATGTGTGAGAGCTATTATTTGTTGGACAATATGGGAAGAAAAAAATTCAAGGATTTTTTTCAAAAAATGAGAGAGGATTGGAAACTATGCTAGAAGTGATTCATATAAGGATAATACACTGGTTGAAAACAATGGATGAGTTCACAAATTTTTCAACAGATGATATGTTAAGAAAATGGAAAGAAATTGCAAGTTTAATCTCAATTAAGAAGACCTCGAATCCCACATGGAACCCTTCACTTTCTAGTTTTATCAAACTAAATTTTGATGGCAGTAGTATGGGGAATCCAAGGCCCTCAGGTATTGGGGGGTGTTAAGAGATGAGAAAAGTAATGTAATAGCTATATTCTCTAACCCAATTGGAGTGGGAGACTCTTTAAGGGCTGAGGTGTTAGCAGCTTTGGAAGAGGTACCAAGGGCTAAAGACCTAAATGTCAAGAAATTAATTATAGAGGGAGATTCCATGGTCATAGTGGACTATCTAAAAGAAGACACTTCTAAGCTTTGGAGCTATAGTAATAAAAAGAGAAAGTTCAAATGGCTGATCAAGAATATGGAAGTTCAGTGTACTTGGGTAAAGAGAAATGCAAACTCCTTTACTGATGGATTAGATAGGAAAGGACTTAAAAGGGATTCTGGGTTCTAGACTTAGTTGTAATTGTTGTTATTATCAGTTTGGGTGCATCCCCAACTTATGGGTAGTTAAGATACCTTAGCTTCTTTGTAAGTTTATTCCTATTTAATGATCAAAAAGAAAGAGAAGGTTGAGATAGGGATGTCAATAGACCGGTTTTGAGTTGGACCGAATCAATTTAGAATGATTGGATGGATACAAATACGTATTGAATGTGGTCTAAAATATTTATTAGATTGGATTGGAGCTAATCCATCTATAATGTATTTATATTCGATTGGGTCCGATTAAATTAAGGGTTTTTTATAAAAACAAAAAACAAAAAAAGTTAATAAAATTGGATGAATTTACAAAACCGTATACGATTTAAAACATATTGTGAAAGCAATGATCCATACATAAAGCAAATTTTTTTTACCAAATTGACCCTTCTTAAAATAAATAATAAGTTACCGTACATCGTCTTCCTCGTGAATTTACAAGTCTTGGTTCACAATTGCAAGCAAGACTTTTGGTATTCCCAACAAAAGCCACTTCTCAATTGTTAAGACTTAGGTTTCAGGGAGATATCGGTGAAGAGGTTTTCTAGAGCACCAAACATGACCTACTCAGCTTCCTCCCTAGCCTTAGCCATCGCCAGCCGTGGAGGAAGATGATTTGATTTGTTGATTTAATACAGGGCAATTTGGTCAAAAAAGAATTATTTTGTCCTCTTCACTATTTATCTGATTTTGTAAATTTATTAAACTTTATTAATTTTTTTGTAAAAAGTCCTTAAATTAATATCAATTCATTGATAAAAGATAAGAATATAGGTGTCAATGGACTAGGTTTGAATTACAATAAATTTAAATTAAAACCAATTTGAACAGATTAGGCAATCTAGACATGGAATTGGCCATTGTAAAATGGTCCAAAGTTCCATCGGGTTGGATTGGACCTGGTCAATAACAAAGACACCCTTGTATAAAATAATAGATATAGAAAAAGATCCCCTTGTACTATGGGGTCGGTGACAAAGACCCCTTGAAATTTTACATTGCCACAAGTACCCCTTAGTCATTAAACTAGATGATGAAAGACATTAAATTACCAAAATAACCCACTCAATTTTCTCTACTTTTTTGGGTCTATTTTCTCTTAAAACCTAATTGACCCAAAAATACCTCCATTGCTTCTCGTCAAGAAATATTTTTGTCATCTCACCATTGATTATTGCTAGAAAAGGATGAAATCTCTAGTAAGTTGTAAGTTAATTAAAAAAAGGGACACTCGCCATTAGAAAGGAAAAAATCTCTTGTGAGTTAATTAAAAAGGGACATTTACTTGTTGGTTATGGATTTTGAAAACTCTTGACAATCACCGCTGTGTTACCTAGCCATTTCAGTTAACATCAATGGAGAAGACAATGAACAATACAAAGTGTAAAAAAATGGTAACCCCTAAGCTATTGGACATGTAACAAAGACCCTTTGCACTTTTTTTGTGACAACAACCACCTTGAACTTTTATGTTATGACAAATACCCCCTCGGTCATTAAGTGATAAAAAGTGTTAAATTATCAAAATACCTTATTAAACTTTTTTTTTACTGCCATTTTTTCTTAAAACCCAAGTAACCCAAAAATACCTCCATTGCTCACTTGCTGTCCCTTTGCTTGCATTGACCCCC